CCTGGGGTTGAATATTGTTCTGCTTTGCTAGTTCAGGAAAATTTTCCTGAATAATATCCTGAAGAATATTTTCCAGCTTGGGTTCATTCTCTCCGTCGCATTCAGGTACACCTATCAAACGTAAATTTGGTCTTTTCACATAGTCCCACATTTTTTGGAGACTTTGCTCATTCCTTTTTATCCTTTTTTCTCTAATCTTGTCTTCTCATTTTATTTCATTAAGTTGGACTTCGACCTCTGATATCCTTTCTTCTGCTTGAACAATTTGAGTGTTTAAACCTGTGCATTCTTCTCGGAGTTCCATTAATTGATACAGTTACATTAATGGAACTGTATTCTTCAGTTCCATTAATTCACTTATATTCCTCTCTAAGTTGTCTATTCTCATTAGGATTTCATCAAACCTTTTTTCAAAGTTCTTAGTTTCTTCACATTGGGCTACAACATGTTCTTTTAACTCACAGAAGTTTCTTATTATCCAACTTCTGAAGCCCGATTCTGTTAATGGGATGCACTCATTCTCCATCAAGCCTTGTTCCTTGTTGATGAGGAACTGCGATCCTCTTTAGAGGGAGAGGCATTCTTATTTTGAGTATTCTCAGCCTTTTTACGCTGGTTTCTTCCCATCATTGTAAATTTATCCACCTGTCATCTTTGTAATTACCAACTTTCAAATTAGGTCTCTGAGTGGACGTCCAAGTTGTTAATTCCCAGGGCCGAAATATGAGCAACCCACTGCGCCAGCCAAAACAGCGGCGTTAAGACTGCTGGTGCTTTTCTGCCGGGGAATCTCCAGTCTGGCTTCCTTCTTGAGTCCGTAATAGGTGACTCTGCCTTCCCGGAGGTCCAAACGTCAGTCAGAAGGGGAACAAGTCCCGTTTACTCTGCACCAAGAGCTGCTGCACCGAGGTGCCCGCAAAACCACTGCGCCGGCCACAAGAGTCGTGCTGGAGACTGGTGTGGCTCCTCCACTGGGAATCTTCTGCTCCGTGAGCGACAAAAATTTGTCTGAAAGTGTGGCGTCCTCTCGTTCTGTGCGCTTTCACTGGGAGCTGCAATCCCGAGATGTTAGCAATCAGCCATCTTGGATCGTTCCTAAAAAAGGAATTTTAAGACATTTTTTCTTCTATTACTTACTGCTAGTTTATAGCAATTCAAGAGGTTTTTACATGTTTATTTTTTTACCATAAATTTTTGGTGAATTTGTTTATTGGCTCTAGAAATGTTCTTTGTGGATTCCTTAGGCTTTTATGTATATATATGATCATGTCATCTGAAAATAGAAGTAGTTTTACTTCTTCCTTTCCGATTTGGATGACATTTATTTCTTTTCCTTGCCTAATTACTCTATCTAGGATTTCCAGTGCAATGATGAATAGAAGTGGTAAAAGCTATCATCCATGTCTTGTCCTGACTACTGTGGGAAATCTTTTGGTCTTTCACTATTGAGTTCATATGATGTTAGTTGTAGGTTTTTCATAAATGTCAAATCTGTTGAGGAAATTCTCTATTATCACTAAAATAGTGAATGTCATTTTTATCATGAAAGGGTTTTGGGTTTTGTCAAAGGATTTTACTCGATCAGTTGAGATCATATGGTTAGTCCTCCACCTTTATTCTACTAATGTGGTATATTACATTGATTGTATTTCATATATTGAACTACCCATGCGTTCCTGGGATGAATCTGCTTTATCATTGTGTATAATTATTCTAATATGCTTCTGAATTTGGTACACTAGGATTTTTGTTTGGGATTTTTGCTTCTGTGCTCATAAGGGATAGTGGCCTATAGGTTCTTTCCTTGCGTTGTCTTGGTCTGAGTTGGTGTCAAGGTAATGCTGGCCTCATGGAATGAGTCTGGTTGTGTTTCCTCCTCTTCTATTTTTTTTGAAGAATTTGAAAAAGATTAGTTTTCATTTTTCTTTAGATTTTTGGTAGAATTCACCAATGAAGTCATTTAATCCTCAGCTTTTTTTTTGTTTGGGTGGTTTGTGGTGATTTGTGGTTATTGATTCAATCTGTTTATATGTTATAGGTCTATTGAGATTCTGTTTCTTCTTGAGTCAGTTGTGGTAGTTTGTGTGTTTCTGGGACTTTGTCCATTTCATCCTGGCTGTATAATCTTTTGGTATACAGTAGTTTATTATATTCCCTTATAATATTTTTTATTTCTGTAAACTTAGTAATAGTGTTCCCATTTGCTTTTTTGAGACAGGATCAGTCTCATTCTGTCACTCACACTGGAGTGCAGGAGTGCAATCAGAGATCACTACAGCCTCAATTTCTTAGGCTCAAGTGATTCTCCTGTTTAGATTTCTCAGTAGCTGGGACTACAGGCATGTGTCACCACACCCAGCTAATTTTTTTATTTTTGTCTTTTTGTAGAGATGAGGTCTCACTATGTTGCCTAGGCTGTCTCAAACTCCTGGGCTCAAGTGATGCTCCTGCCTTGGTCTCCCAAAGTGTTGGGGTTACAGGTGTGAGCCACCATGCCTGGCCTGTGTCACCATGCTCCAGCCTGTTCCCAGTTTCATATTTGATTTTAGTAATTTGAAATCAAAGTCTGTCTCCTTTTTTTTTAAGTCATTTTAGCTAAATAATTAACTTTTGGTTTTACCAATTATTTTGTTTTCTTAATTGTATATTTCATTTATCTGAACTCTAATCTTGATTATTTACTTTCTTGTTCTTGCTTTGGATTTGGTTTGCTCTTTCTTTTCTTGTTAATTAAGGTATACAATTAGATTATTGACTTAAGATTTTTTGCTAATGTAGGCTGTGAATTTCCCTCTGAGCACCACTTTCACTGCATTTATATGTTCTCTTATATATTGTATTTTATTTTCATTCATCTCAACATATTTTCAATCATTCTTGTGATTTCTTTTTTAACCTATTAATTGTTTAAACTGTTATAATTTTAATGGCTGTAGCATAATCCTCTGTATTATTCCTGATACAGATGATTTATATATTATATATCTCGGTCTTGCTAGAGGTTTATCAATTTTATTGATTTTTTTTCCAATAAAGAAGCCTTTGATTTATTGATATTCTCTATTATTTTCTATTTTTTTTAGACACAGGGTCTTGCTATGTTGCCCATGGTGGCCTTGAACTCCTGGGCTCAAGCGATTCTCCTGCCTCAGCCTGTTGAGTAGCTGGAACTATAGGCTCACACCACTACACCTAGCTAATATTCTCTATTGTTTTTCATTTCATTTATTTTTGTTTCTTATTTCCTTCTTTCCTCTTCCTTTGGATTTAATTTGCCCTTCTTTTTCTATTTTCATGAGATGATTATTTAGATAATTGGTTTGAGAACTTTCCTATTTTTGAATGTAAGCATTTAGCAGTATAAATTTCCCTCTCAGTGCTAGTTTAGCTATGTCCCATATATTTCGATATGTGTATTTTCAAACAGAAAAACATTTAAGATACTTATTATTGCATCATGGAATTTTCAGTACCTAGTTTAATGGCCCTTAATTTCCTCAACGGTGTTCCCTTTCCTTCCTCAAGCCTCTTTAAGTCATGGTTTCTAAAATGTAAAAGTCCGGATTGGTCTAGCTATTGCAGAATAGTGCTAAACTATCTGTTCATTCCTTCATTTATCATTCACATTGATTTACCCATTCGTTCATTCAGCAAACATTTACTGAGGTCCTATACCAGTCATTGTGCTGGCTAAAAATAGAGAGATGTATGCCTGTAATCCCAGCACTTTGGGAGGCCAAGGCGGGTGGATCACAAGGTCAAGAGATCAAGTCCATCCTGGTCAACAAGGTGAAACCCAGTCTCTACTAAAAATACAAAAATTAGCTGGGCATGGTGGCACATGCCTGTAATCCCAGCTACTCAGGAGGCTGAGACAGGAGAATTGCCTGAACCCAGGAGGCATGCGGTGAGCCGAGATCTCGCCATTGCACTCCAGCCTGGGTAACAAGAGTGAAACTCTGTCTCAAAAAAAAAAAAAAAAATAGAGAGAGATGTTTAAACAGACATACTCCTTCCCTTTATGGCTCTGTCTGGCAAAGATGACAAATAATTAAACAAATAGTTTCAAGGGTCACCACTCTCTCTCTTACTGTAGAAACTCTACTACATTAACACAAAGCTAGGTTAAAATTCTATGAGTTTTTGTGTTTTTTTATTTTTTTCAACAAGTTCTGCTGTTTTCTATCCTATTTTCAAAAGTCTTTGCCACCTTGAACCTAGCATGATCCTCAGCTGGTCTGCACTCTACAGGTTATGCCAGTTGCTTAAAGCTGACTTCTTTCTGGTTGGTTAAGGCTCTGGTTACATGTTTTGAAGATCATCCCTAACCTGATCCTTGACTGCAAACATCTCTGTCTGCCCCTTTGCATTGATCAGTCTTTTGTGATACAATCTGAGCCCATAATGGAGTAGCACCTTAACTTTGGGTAGAGTGATCAAATTTTCTAGAGTTCTATTAGTTAGGTCCTTTCATTGTCACTGAACCCCCCATAGAAATAGGTCCCAACTGACAGATGAAGAAATTGAGACCCAGAGAAGCTAAGTTACTTGCCCAGGTTGGGAAAATCAAGAACAGATACAGGTTTTTAGATTCCCACCTAGGCCTTTACTTTCACCTCAATCTGTCTCTTCCTACTTGACCATTAAATATATTTTAAAGAGGGCAAAGTCCAATTGCATAATAGATCTGCCTGTCTGAAACATCATGATTAGTGCTAATGGCTGGGTATTACCTGGCATGCATGTGTTAGGTTTACAGTAAAGAATGTCTACTTTTTATTAACTGTCCTTTTAGATATATTAGTGACTGTCACACCTGAATTATAACAAAGAAGCACTAGAAAAATTCAATGTGGGCGGCAAAATTCTTTGAAGAATAACTAGTTATAATTGGGGAGTCTGAACACATTTCAGAGTTGCACATTTAATATGCAGTATGGTTAATTGCACTGTAATTACAGTATTTTAGAATGCCATGCTAAGTGTTTAATCCTTTTCAGGTTTGCCCTCCAATCAGTGGCCTGCCTTCATTTTCCAGATTGATGAAGTCTGCCTCAGAGAAGGGGGTAGGTAACAAGACTGTGCCGATGTGTCTAATCAGCTGGAAAAGTTGTAAAATGAATCTTTCCTATCTGGAATTTATATTTAATCATAGTTATGTTCTTTTTGTGAATGTGTGTTGATTAGTTAGTTGTCAGAATAGGAAAACAAGAAGAGCTTTTATTTATACAGATAAGTTATGCTGGAGTAATTATTCAGGTCTGATTGAGTTGATGGAGATTTTTACATTACCTCAGCACACAGAGCCACTTAATCTTATTCATAATGTTAATTAAATACTCCAGGAGTTACTACCATGCTCTCATTTATGGTGTTTACTATTCAGGTTTGTTTATATATGTGATGACTTGTGGACCCCTCTTTTTCACTGGACCATGCCCTTTTACAGTTGTAAAATGCACCTCCACTCATAGAAACTGATCTTCAGCAGTTTATTCACAGTGTTCCTGATCCTATCTAACTTGGGGAAGGAAACTCTCTTTGGTTTCAGAATTGGTTAAGATTATGTCATTGAACTGACTTTTAATAGATTTTTTTTTTTTTTTGGCTTATGCCTATAATCCCAGCAGTTTGGGAGGTGAAGTAGTTGGATCATTTGAGGTCAGGATTTTAAGACCAGCCTGGCCAACATGGTGAAACTCCATCTCTACTGAAAATACAAAAATTAGCCGGGTAGTAGTGGCACATGCCTGTAATCCCAGCTACTTCGGAGGCTGAGGCAGGAGAATCACTTGATCCTGGGAGGTGCAGGTTGCACTGAGCTGAGATCAGACTACTGCACTCCAGTCTTGGAGAAGGATTTTTTTTTTTTTTTGCCTTTATGTATTTGCATATGCCTTTTCAGTGACTGGAGTTTTCTTTCCCTGGATACCCACTGCAAACTATTCTTTATTTTTTAGACCAGGCCTAAAATTTCCAAGCTTCAAGAAGGCTATTTTAATTGTACCAGAGAAAGTTAATCATTGCCTGCTTTATCTGAACTACTGTATCTGAGCATTAACATCATCACAGCCTTGTCAGACTGTATCACAATTATCTTTGATATGTTTGCTTTTAATAACAGACTGGTTTATTTGAGAGGACCATAGTATACTCATCTCTCTTATCACCCAAATCTAATAGTGCCTGGTACATGGTAGATGCTTAATCATTTCTAAGTGTTGAATGACATAGATTATTCTTTTAAAAATATTTTTGAGGACTGGGCCTGGTGGCTCACGCCTGTAATCCCAGCACTTTGGGAGGCCGAGGCAGGTGGCTTACAAGGTCAGGGGTTCAAGGCCAGCATGGCCAAGATGGTGAAATCCTGTCGTTACTAAAATACAAAAAATTAGCGAGGCATGATGGCAGGTACCTGTCATCCCAGGTACTCAGGAGGCTGAGGCAGAGAATTGCTTGAACCCAGGAGGTGGAGGCTGCAGTGAGCTGAGATCTCATCACTGCACTCCAGCCTGGGCAATGGAGCAAGACTCTGTCTCAAAAAAAAAATTATTTTGTGTGTGAAAAATAATTTATATATCATAAATTCACTTTTTTCATTTTTTCTCTATTTTTTTTTTTGCTGCCGGAAATTCACTGTTTTAAAGTATGCAATTAAGTGGTTTCTAATATATTTACAAAGTTGTGCAACTATCACCACTATCTAATTTCAGACTATTTTCATTATCCCAGAAAGAAACCCCAAACCCACTCTCAGCCATTTCTCATTCCATCTTTTCTCCAACTCCTGACAACTGCTAATCTAATTATTGTCTTTATTGACTATTTTAAACATTTTATGTAAATAGAATCATATAATATGTGAATTCTTTCTCTTAGCATAACATTTTCAAGGTTGGATGTTGTAGCATGTGTAGGAACTTCATTCCTGGCCAGATACTCTTTTACTATACGGATATATCATATTTTGTCTATCAGTTTAGCACTTGATGGATGTTTGGGTTGTTTTTAGTTCTTGACTCTTAAGAACAACACTACTGTGAATATTAATGTTTTTGTGTGTACACATATTTTCAGTTTTCTTAAGTATATACATAGCAAAGAAATGTCTGGGTCATATGATAACTCTGTTTAACGTTGGGAGTTGCTGCCAAACTGTCTTCCAAAGTGGTTATACCATTTACCATTCCCACTGGCAACGTAGGATGCTTCCAATTTCTCCACATTCTCCACAACTCTTGTTATTGTCTGTTTTATTGATTATAGCCATCTTAATGGGTATTTCATTGTGGTTTTGATTTGCATTTATCTAATGATTTATGGTGTTGAGTGCGTTTTTATGTCCTCATTGGCCATTTTTTTTTTTTTACCCTAGCTTCTTTGTTTTTCTGCAGTTTGAATATGATATGTCTAAGAATAGATATTTTTGTATTTATCTGGGTTGGTGTTCTGAGCTTCCTGGATCTACAGCATTGTGTCTGTCACTAATTTGGGAAATCCTCAGACATCATTCCTTCAAATATTTATTCTGTTTTTTTTCTCTTGTTTTTCTCCTGGTATTCCAATTATAAAGCTCACTGATGCTTTCCTCAGTTGTAGCTGGTCTACTGATGAGCCTGTGCAAGACAGTTTTCATTTCAGATACAGTATTTTCTATTTCTAGTATTTTTTATACCTTCTTAGAGTTTCTGTCTGCTTCCTTATCCATCTGTTATTGTATATTGTCCACTCTTTTCATTAGAACCCTGAGCATGTTAATCATAGTTACTTTAAATGCCAGTCTGAAATGTAAAACTCTGAGTCTGGTTGTGATGCTTACTCTGTCTCTTTAAGCTGCATGTTTTTTATCTTTTAGTATGCCTTGGAATTTTCTGTTCAAAGCTGTTGTACTGAGTAAAAGGAACTGAGGTAAATAGGCCTTTGGAATGAGGTTAATCTGACTAGAAGTTTGGCTGTGTTTACTGTTTGCTATAGTTATATGTGTCAGAAGCTAAAATTTCTTCTGGTGTCCTTGTTTTTGTTTCCACTGTTTTATATGGGCTTTCCTGAAGACTTCTTCTTAAATAAGGTCTGGGATGTGAGATTCTTTCAGATGTAATTGCCTGGTATTATGCGGGATCCCTGTGTAATGTAGATGTGGTGGTAAGATGTGGGGAGAGAAGTGTGCTACAGTCTGGTGATTAGTTCTCAGTTTTTTAGTGAGCGGGTGCTCTGGGCTGTGACCTCTGTTTCTCAGCTCATTGTTTTTACCAAGATCAAGTCATTTTTAAATATAAATGCCCACCAGGTTGTTGCACACTTTTGCTTATTTTCCAGAATTTTGAAAAAGTTGATTTCAACAATTTTGCCAATGTTCTCATTGCTTTTAAGGAGATAAGGCTTTCCAGAGTGTTACTCTTATTTCCTCAAATACCACTCCAGATTATTCTCCATAAATGAATATAGTGAACATGCTGCCTAGTTCACAAATAATACAAATTTCTATTTTTTTTTTTGAGATGGAATCTCACTCTGTCACCCAGACTGGAGTGCAATGGCACAATCTAGGCTCATTGCAACCTCCACCTCCCAGATTCAAGCAATTCTCTGCCTCAACTCCTGAGTAGCTGGAATTACAGGTGCCTGCCACCATACCCAGCTAATTTTTGTATTTCTAGTAGAGATGGGGTTTCACCATCTTGGTCAAGCTAGTCTTGAACTCCTGACCTCATGATCCACTCGCCTCAGGCTCCCAAAGTGCTGGAATTACAGGCGTGAGCCACTCCAGCAGACCAAAAAAATATGATACACTTCATGAATTCGTGTTCATTTCTTGTAGAAGGACATGGCACTAATACTCATCAAATATGGATTTTGTAAGTTTTGTAAGTTATCAGTATATCCTGTAATCTTAATTAAAAGATTAATTGCTTGATGATGATCTAAATACTTGCTCTGCATAAATATGCACATATTAAACTCTGTTAAAGTATTAAGAAATGTAATAGCTAAATTTTAAAATGACACAAATTGCACAGAAACATCCTTTCTTTTCAGCACCTTAATATGCCAAAATTAGGACTTTCATTTAAAATGTTATAAGGTAGCAATGAGATTTCATTGTCTCTCATTGTTAGGCATTACCATCAAAATATTTTGACCATACTTTTCACTTTGACATAGGTGTTTTGGCATGTATGCCCAGCTTTTGGAGGTATATTTTTCAATTCTGGTGTTTCCACTCTGTTAGGTCAAAAAATAATCCAAGCTAAATGCTTTTGGCCCCCTGTTATTTGGGTACTTATAGACTTCCTACAAAATTAATTCTTTGACTTCAAATTGATATAGAAAATACTCTACACAGATTTCAAGAACGAATATTTCATAGTATGTGTTTATTACAGTTTGAGAAAGAAATTGGTCATAGAATATCTTATTCAGACACAGATTACATCATTGTTATCAATGTTACAGTTTCAAGATCTTTTTTTCAATACTTATAAGGTTTTCATGTAAATAAGTAGGTAAGTAATATACATACATACAGTTGAACACTATGTAGCTTTAAAAAATAAGGTAAATCAATGTGATAATATGGAAAGATCTCCAAGATATATTGTTAAGTAAAACAGATTATAGAATAGTATAAATGAGCCATATTTATAAAAGTATGTATATAAGAATATGTATTAACATTTCCAGCAGAATAGCTGTGAGACATAGTAGTAGTTACCCTTGAGTAGAGTGTAGAGGTTGGGGAAAGAGAAAAATACTTACTTTATTACTACACTTGAATGAAAAGAAAGAGCAGATATTAGTTTTGTAACTTAAGAAATAGTTTTAAAATCTATTTTCAACCTGGCATTTGAACTACAGATTAATAATTTTAGAACTAAGTTATCTCCTGGAGAATCATTTAATTTTTATAACATTGAAATATATTTAAATTACCCCTTATTGGACATTCTTTTCCATATATACAATTCTAATTTTATGTTTTTTCCCCTAGAAAGTCCCTTACTGATTGATTGATTGATTGACTGAGACAGGATCTTGCTCTGTTGCCTAGGCTGGAGTGCAGTGGTATGATCTAGCCTCCACTTCCCAGGCCCAAGTGATCCTCCCAGCTCAGCCTCCTGAGTAGCTGAGACTACAGGCGCGTGCCACCATGCCTGGCTAATGTTTTACATTTTTTGTAGAGATGGGGTCTCCCTATGTTGCTCAGACTGGTTTCAAACTCCTGGACTCAAGCAGTCTTCCTGCCTCAACCTTCCAACGTGCTGGGATTACAGGCATGAGCCACCATACCAGGTCTCTTTCTCTTCTTTATTAAGTCTTTTTTTTTGAGATGGAGTCTTGCTCTGTTGCCCTGGCTAGAGTGCAGTGGCACAATCTCAGCTAACTACAATATCTGCCACCCTGGTTCAAACAATTCTCCTGCCTCAACCTCCCGAGTAGCTGGGATTACAGGGGCCTGCCACTGTGCCTGGCTAATTTTTGTATTTTTAGTAGAGACGGGGTTTCACCATCTTGGACAGGCTAGTCTTGAACTTCTGATCTCATGATCCACCTGCCTCGGCCTCCCAAAGTGTTGAGACTACAGGTGTGAGCCACTGCGCCGGTCTGAGTCTTTTTTTTTTTTTTTTTTAAAGAATGGTGATAATGTTTTCATAACAAAGTTTACCATTTTAAACATTTTTAAGTATTGTGGCATTATGTATGTTCACATTATAGTACAACCATCGCTACTGTTGGTCTTTAGAACTTTTTCCATCTTCCTAAACAGACACTTCTGTACCCATGAAACAATAAAGGTCAATTTTTGTGAGATGGAAATTGTCTGAAATTAACGTAAAATAAATTGGAAAAAATATAGAGAAAAATAAGAATAGCTGTATGGTGTCCTTCATTTTAAAATACTGCTTCCAATTACCTGTTCTTACAGAGAGTTTTAGACTTCAGACAGGTTAAATATTTGTGTTTATTAATTCCACTTTAGTTAATAGAATAGAAAAAGGGCCGGGCGAAGTGGCTCATGCCTGTAATCCCAGCACTTTGGGAGGCTGAGATGGGTGGATCACTTGAGGTCAGGAGTTCCAGAGCAGCCTGACCATTATGGTGAAAACCTGTCTCTACTAAAAATACAAAAATTAGCTGGGCATGGTGGTGTATGCCAGTAGTTCCAACTACTCAAGAGGCTGAGACGGGAGATAACTTGAACCTGGGAAGCAGAGATTGCAGTGAGCCAAGATTGCACCACTGCATTCCAGCCTGGGCAACAGAGAGAGACTCTGCCTCAAAAAAAAAAAGGATGTGTTGCATAGGTGCTACTGATCACGAATATAATGGAGGGACATCCCCTTGAGAGCTGTGTTAGGGTATGTTTTTCACTAGATTGGATACTTTTCATGACAAAAAGGTAGGTATTTACCTTCCCTTCTACAGAAGTTAATCAGATAAAGAGACTGAATGGTTATCAAATGTAACTATTGAAAGATGGTTAAAAATGTTGGTGTGGGACTTTCAGTATTAGAAGAGAAGGGAACAGAAGGAGGATAAGGAGAACCTCAGACTTAAGAACCATGGACTATATGTTCTTTGCTGTGGAATAACAGTGGTGTGGAGATCCACCACAGACATGAAGTTGGAGCAGATTATGAAGGGATAAATTTACTTCTGAGCATGACATTTCTCTGATTACATAGAAGGTGCTACTTTTCAAGAGTGGCTTCAAAGACAAGGGGTTTTTGGTTTTGCAGCTGGTGAGCTGCCATTCCTGGTTAAGATGGCCTGTAAATATCAAAGGAAAAATGGCAGTCATGCTACAGAAAACTTGAAATACACTTTTGCTTTCCCTCTCTTTCTCCTTACCTGCTTCCTCTTTCTTCATGTCTTTCCTCCACTAACATACACACTGAAAAACTAAATTAACCGAGTAGCACGGGGCATGAAACTTTGGTTCTGACATTAAGTAGCTAAGTGAATGAGAATATGTCATTTAGTTTTTGTGGATCTTATTTTCCTCTTATGTAAAATTGGGAATATCGTTCTGTTGGTTCTTTAAATAAAAGGAATTTAAAAATTTAAGTAGACGATTTGGAACAAATAACTCAATGTTGGTGAATCTTTGAAAAGAATAATATAGTGTTCCATCTACATTATCTTTAAAATACTAATGATTATAAATGTCTACTCGTGATGGGATAGCAGTAGATACTTATGACAATGAGAGCCACACTAATTTTTCTCTAGAATTGTGAGGAAATTACAAGTGCTTTGGAAAGTTACACATTCATCTCACCAAGGTGACCCAATCTAACTCTTCAAGACAAAGAGTGAAAGTATTAAACCAGTGAACCTCCTTGTCCTCTTAAACTGCAAGCCTTTGAGTATGCTGTCCTCATATGAAGCAATGCCTGTCACTGAAAAAATTGGAATACAGAAAAGAAAACACATGTTGCAGGTTTAAAAATAGTTCCAAAAATAGACTATTGGACTCCCTGATGCTACATATTGATTTTTCAATAGTAGCATTTATTTACTCATCTAGTTTTTCTTCAACATTGAAGACAGATTTTAATAAAAATAGGTAACTACTAAATTTGAGGAGTCGCATGAAAACCCCAACTTTCTGTTGAATTTCCTTTGGCATTTCAATAGGTATACTTAGGTTGGGAAAATATATTAACGAAGACATACATAGGTATAGTGCTAGACTGAGTACTGAGTGTCATAAAAAGAAATCACTTAGAAAAACAGGCCTTGTCCTCAAAAGGCATACAACCTTGCTTTAGAAATAAGTTACACAAAACATTTTAAACATTGTTACAACTTAGATTTTAGGTGATGTAAACTGTTCAGACCATAGTAAACACCACAAAAATAATGAAAAGTCAATTGAGCAGTTTAAAACAGCATATCATAAAGCCTTTTCCCTAAAGTGTATGCATTCTATTAAAAAATGATTCTGTTTTTTACTCAGAGGCTTAGTATTCTCTTTTTTATAAACACCAGGCTCTAAACAGATTTTTTTTTCTTTTTTTTGAGATGGAGTCTTGCCCTGTCGCCCAGGCTGGAGTATAATGGTGTGATCCCAGCTCACTGCAACTTCTGCCTCCTGGGTTCAAATGAGTCTCCTGCCTCAGTTTCCTGAGTAGCTGGAATTACAAGCACCTGCCACCACACCAAGCTAATTTTTGTATACCTGTTTGGGATGTATACCTCTTTGGATTTTGAGAAGTACATACAGTCATGTATCCAACACTCCAGTATCATACAGAATAATTCTGTCATTCTAAAAATTCCCCCGTGTGGCCCTTTTATAGTTTATACAACACTCCAGTATCATACAGAATAATTCTATCGTTCTAAAAATTCCCCTGTGTGGCCCTTTTATAGTCGCCCTTCCCTTCTTCCTCAACCCCTGGTAACCATGATATGTTTCTTATTTTTATAGTTTTGCCTTTTCATGATGTCACATAAATTGAACCATACTGTACATAGCCTTTTGGGTCTGGATTATTAAATTTAACAGAATGCATTTAAGATCTATATGCACTGTATCCACTTAGTAGCTCATTCTTCTTTATTGATGTATATATCCTATTTTATGAAATATATATGTATATATTTGTTTATTCATTCACCTGTTGAGAGACATCTTGGCTTTTTCCAGTTATTCGTGATTATTAATAAAGCTGTTATAAACAATTGCATATAGGTTTTTCTGTGAATATAAGATTTCTGTTCATCTGGGTAAGCCCCAGGAATGGAACCACCAAGTTGTATGGCCAATGTATTTCTAATTTTATAAGGAACTGCTAAGTTGTCTTTCAAAGTGGCTGTACCACTTAAAATAGCCACCAACAGTTAAAGAGAGTTACTATTGCTCTGCATCTTTCTTAGCATTTGGTATTGTTCCTTTTTAATTTTAGCCATCCTAGTATATATCTAGTATTATCTTGTTTTAATTTGCATTTCACTAAAGACAAATAATGTTGAGCATCTTTACATATGCTTATTTATCATTAAAAAATATTTTTTTGGGCCTGGCACAGTGGCGCAGTGGCTCACGCCTGTAATCCCAGCATTTTGGGAGGCTGAGGCCGGTGGATCACCTGAGGTCAGGAGTTTGCGATGATCAGCCTGTCCAACATAGTGAAACCCTGTCTCTACTAAAAATACAAAAATTAGCTAGGCATGGTGGTGGGAACCTGTAGTCCCAGCTACTGGGGAGGCTGAGGCAGGAGAATCACTTAAACCAGGGAGGCAGAGGTTGCAGTGAGCCAAGATGGCACCACTGCACTCCAGCCTGGGCCACAGAACAAGACTCAGTCTCAAAAATAAAAAAAAAAACTTTTTTGGTAAACTGTTTATATACTTTGCCAATTTTTTTTACTATATTTATTTAAAAAAAAATTATTTAATTGTTAGAGATGGGGGTCTTGCTCTGTTGCCCAAGCTGGAATTCAATGGCTCACTGCAGCCTTAAACTCCTAGGCTCAAACAATCCTCCAGTCTCAGCCTTCCGAAAAGCTGGAATTACAGGCACAAGGCATTATGTTGGCTCTTATTGTTGGAGTTTTAAGAGTTCTTTAAATATTGAGGATACAGAATATTAAGTATGTGATTTGTAAATATTTTTTCCTCATCTATGGCAAGTATTTTTAATCTCTTTAATTTCTTTTATCTTTCATAAAATCTAATTTATCAATTCTTTTATTTTATTGATTATGCTTTCGGCATCATATTTTAAAACTGATCGCCAAACTTTAGGTTACACAGATTTTTCTCATGTTTTATTTTTAAATTTACTGTTTCAGATTTTACATTTTGGTCTGTTATCCATTTTGAGTTAATTTTTCTATGAGGCGTGTGTTGAGGCTCTTTTTTTTTTTTAAATATGGATGTCCAGTTGATCTAGCACCAAGTTTTGAAAATATTTTTTTCCCCATTGAATTGCTTTTGTTATTTTGCAGTAAAAAAGATTGACTATATTTGTGTGGGTCAACTTTGGGGATGGTTAATGCATCTTTTGCCAATACTACATTGTCTTAATTATTGTAGCTTTATAGTTAGTCTTGGAAGTCAGATAGTGTGAGTCCTCCAACTTTGTTCTTATTCAGAATTGTTTTGGCTAGTTTAGCATTTTTATTTTTGCCTTTCTGTAATACATTTTAGGATCAGCTGGTTGATAAACAACTCTGCTTGAATTTGAATTTGGACTGCAAGGAATCTATAGGTTAAATTTGGGAGAACTGACATTTTAGCAATATTGAGTTTTCTAATTCGTGAACATAATATATCTCTTCATTTTTTAAGATAATCTTTGATTTTTTTAATCAGCATTTTATACTTTTTGGCATCCAGATCTTTCACATATTTTGTTAGATTTATACTTAAATCCTTCAGTACTTTTAGTGCTGTTGTAAATGGTATTAATTTTTAAGGTCATATTCTAACTGTTCATTCCTGGTTATGGGAATACATTTGACTTTTGCATTTGTCTAATGACTAATGATATTGAGCATCTCTTCAAGAGCCTATTGACCTTGTATCCTATAACCTCACTAAACTCAAATATTAGTTCTAGAAGCATTTAAAGAAATTCTTTGGTATTCTCCACATAGGAAATTATACTATCTATGAATAGAGATGGTTTTCTTTCTTTCTTTCTAATTTATATGCCTTTTACTTATTTTTCGTCCCTTATTATATTGGCTAGGACTTCTGCTACATTGTTGAATAGGAATGGAAAGAGAGGATATCCTTTTTGTTCTTGATCTTATAGGGAAAATAATTCAGTCTCACATCAAGTATTATGGTAGCTATAGATTTTTTTGCAGATGTTAAAGAAATTCCCATATATTCCGAGCTTGTGAATTAAAAAAATTGTAAACGAATGTTCAGTGATTTTTCTGCATCTATTGAGGTGATATGGGTTTTGATATTTAGTTTGTTAGTATGGTGAATTTTACTGATTGATTTTTGAATTGTTGACCCTGTGTTGCATTCCTTTATGCACTTGGTTTTGATATGTCATTTAACTTAGTTTTGATATATTACTCTCCTCTCTTCTCTCCCCATCCTCTCCCCCCTCCCCCCTCCCCTCCCCTCCCACCTCCTCCCCCCTTCCCCCCTTCCCCTCCCCCTCCCCTTCCCCTCCCCCTCCCCTCCCCTCCCCCCTCCTCTCCCCTCCCCTCCCCTCTCCTCTCCTCTCTTTTTCTTTCTTTTCTTGATGGGGTCTGCCTCTGTTGCCCAGGCTGGAGTGCAATGGTGGGATCTCAACTGACTACAACCTCTGCCTCCTATGCTCAAGCAATCTTCCCACCTCAGCCTCCCAAGTAGCTGGGACTCCAGGCTTGCACCACCACACCCAGCTAATTTTTGTATTTTTTTTTTTGTAGAGACAGTGTTTTGCCATGTTGCCCAGGCTGGTCTTGAACTGCCCTCAAGTGATCTGCCTGCTTCAGCCTCCCAAAGTTCTGGGATTACAGGCACATTACCACCATGCTTGGTTCATCCTTTTTATTTATTGCTGGGTTAATTGCCAATATTTTCTAGAGGATTTTGTTATTGTGGTAAAATATCCATAATATTTATAATTTTAACAGTTTCTAAGTGTAGAATTTATCATTTTAATCATTTCTAAGTATAGAATTCAGTGGCATTAAATATATTAACAATGTTGTGTAACCATACCACTGTCTGTACTCAAAACTTTTCATCATCTCCAACATAAATCCTGTATCCATTAAACAATAACTCTTAATGGCTGTCCTTTCCCCATTGAATGGTCTTGGTACCCTTGTTGAAAATCAACTGATTATACATGTGAGGATTTATTTTTGGGCTATTTTATTCCATTAGTCAATATGTCTGTCCTTATGCCAGTACCATATTGTTTTAATTACTGTAGCTTTGTGGTGAGTTTCAAAGTCAAGAAGTGTGAGTCTTCCAACTTTATCTTTTTTTTAGAGATTGTTTTTGTTATTAGGGCCCCTTGCAATTCCATATGAATTTGAAAATATGGCTTTTTATTGCTGCAAAAAATGCTGTCAGAATTTTGATAAAAATTGCTTTGGATCTATAGATTTGGGTATTACTGACAGTGTTAAGTACATGAACACAGAATATCTTTTCATTCACTTAGGTCTTCCTTAATCTCTTTCAACAGTGTTTTATAGTTCTTAGCATGCAAGTTGTTATGGTTGGGCTTTGTGTCCCCATCCAAACCTCATCTTGAATTGTAATCCCCCTAATCTCCATGTATCAAGGGAGAGACCAGATGGAGGTAATTGAATCATGGGGGCAGTTGCCACTATACTGTTCTTGTGATAGTGAGTTCTCACCAGATCTGATGGCTTAAAAGCATTTTACAGTTCTCTCACCTCTCCTCTCTCTCCTGCCACTTTGAGTAGACATGTCTTGCTTCCCCTTTACCTTCTGTCATGATTGTAAGTTTCCTGAGGCTTCCCAAGCCATGATGAACTGGGAGTCAATTAAACCTCTTTCCTTTATAAATTGTAAGTTCTTTATGGCAGTATGACAATGCACTAATACATAAGTCTTTCATTTATTTGGTTAGATTGATTTCTAAATATTTAATTTTTAAAGATGTTGTTATAAATGGAATTTCTTTCTTAATTTCCTTTCTAGATTGTTCATTGCTGGTGAACACAACCAGCTGATTTTTGTGTGTTGATTTTGCTAAGTATCTACAGCTACAGTAATTAAAACAGTATGGTACTGGCATAAGGACAGACATACTGACTAATGGAATAAAAGAGAGAGCCCCAAAATAAATCCTCATATATATCATCAGTTGATTTTCAACAAGGGTACCAAGGTTATTCAATGGGGAAACGACAGCCATTTAACAAGTGGTGTTGGGAAAAGTGGATATCCACATGCAAAAGAATGAAGTTGGACTCTTACTTGTTATAAGGTAGAAAAGGCCCAACTAAAATTAACTAAAAATGGACCAAAGACCTAAACTTAATAGCTAAATTCAGCTAAAACTGCTGAATTAATCTATTGGCTCTAGTAGCTTTCTTGTAGATTCTTTGGGAATTTTCTAAATATAGCTTTATGTCATATGTGAATAAAGATAGCTTTACTTCTTTTCCAACTTGGATGCCTTTTCCTTCTTTTTCTTGTCTAATTGTTGGCTAGAACTTGCAGCACACTGTTGAATAGCAGTGATGAAAGCAGGTATTCTTGTTTCATTTCTAGTTTCAGGGGGAAAGCTTTCAGTCTTTCATCATTGACCATGATTTTAGCTCTGGCTTCTTTACAAATGCCCTCTATCATGATGAGGACATTTAATCTATTCCTGGTTTTCTAAGAGTTTTTATTGTGAAACGATGCTGACTCTTGTCAAGAGCATTTTCTGTGTCAATTGAGATGATCATGTGTGTTTCTTTTTCTATTAATGTGATGTATTACATTGATTGATTCTCTTATGTTGAACCACTTTTGCATTGCTGGGATAAATACTACCTCATCATGGTGTATAATTCTTTTAATGTGCTGTTGAATTTCGTTTGTTAGTATTTTGTTGAGGATTTTTGCAACGATATTTATATGAGAAATTGGGGTTTACATTTCTTTCTTGTGATATCTTTATCTGCCTTTGGTATCACAGAAATACTGGCCTCAAAGAATGAGTTAGGAAGTGTTCTCTCTCTCTCTCTCTCTTTTTTTTTTTTTTTTTTTTTTTTTGAGACAGAGTCTTGCTCTGTCACCTAGGCTGAAGTGCAGTGGCATGATC